TGGGCTGCCTGCTACGTCTGCACGTCTCTGTGCCCAGAAGTCATGTGTTGGCAACCGACTCTCCAGTGTTATGGCGTTGGGAGGTGGGGCCACGGGAGGCCATTAGGTCATGAGGGGGGAGCCCCCCTAATGGCAATAGTGTCCTTATAAAAGATCCAAGAGCTCATGCATCCCTGTCACCACAGGACACAGAGAGATGGCGCCATCTGTGAACGGCAGGTAGCCTCACCAGAGAGCGCCTCTGTGCAGCCTTGGTCCTGGACGGCCCCCTCTGTGGTGCTCTGCTAAGGCAGCTGAACACACTCCCTGGGCACCTGCTCTGCTCACCTCGTCCTCGCACCCATGTGGACGGGCTCACCCCGGCCTGCTCCTAGACACGGGGAGAAGTGAAGGCCTTGCAAGCCTGGTCAGCCACCTGAGACAGGAGACGCTATCTGCGTGATGCCACAAGGCTCCGCGGGCGTGCCCACCCCCAGGCAGGCCACCTGAGGCTGACTCAGCATGGCTCTGCCTTTTCTTCTCTGTGGGTCTTCAGGAATCACCCCATTTTGCTGGCAGGCACCATGCTGCTTTGCTTTGAGCAGCACATGGCTCTGGGTACCAAAGCCAGGGTCATGAGCTCACGTTCCCCGTGGACCAGCCAGCTTGGGCCAGTTCCACAGCCTCACACACCTCACAGTTCTCTGGGACCCCTGATCATTCACTAGTGGCTCACACAGAGGACACAGAGGGCCAGCCCATGCTGGCCAAGGGGAGCAACCCCGCCCACACACGTAGAGAAGGATCTCAAGGACCTTGCGGCACTGGTGCAGTGGAGGCTCCTCCGCCAGGGACACGGGCCTGTGCTCTGGACTTGCCATGCTTTCTGCTACTGGGCACCACGTGGAGCATCACCTCCGGTCTGCCAGACAGGAAGAGACCAGCAGTCATACACTGACGGGCATAGCTCCCTCGGTGAGGTGTCGCTCACTATTATCACCTGTCTGGTCACTGGACTAGGAGGTAATTCTGTCTCTGAAACAGTGATGCTGAACTCAAACAATTTTACTGAAATAATTCTTAGTGTGAGCTGAAAATAGGTCTTGTTTTTACTACCCAGCAGCTCATCTCAGGGAACATCTCCTTTAATTTACCCCCTGCTAAAATTTAAATAGCTATGGCAAATTACATAAAACATGATTTGAGGAAATGCAGTTCATCAACTTGTGTGACAAACTCTAACCGATGTTATTTTTGTGACAAAAAAAAAAAAGCTTCAGAAGTAGCCCACATGGCTCTACACAGCGATGCGCATGGGGCCATCAACGCTGCAACCGTGGCTGCTTGGACAAGCACTAGGTTCTGAGATGACCAATGGTCAGTTTCCTCAGGGCTGGGTGCCGCAGTGGTCAGGAAGGAGCCTGGCCTTGAATGGAGGACACCTGCTTTTCTTCCTCTCCTCTCTGGTGTCTAGCAATAGTTGCCCCACTTGTGATGGACAGCCTCAAGCCCTGGGCCTAGAGTGGTCTAGCTGGAATTCTGGTAGTGTTACATGCAAAATTCATTTTTTTTTTTTGATTCTTAGCAACTAGTTTTGAAATTTAGGTTAGTTTTTCATACACTTCTATATTGCTCTGAGACTTGTTGTATATATATGGATCCTACATATATACTATATATGGTTCATGAATAAATAAATGTTATATATGTATAAACTACAGACATGTAGAATCCATATATATGAATCACATAGAGTTTAACACAGATGTGTGTGTGTGTGTGTGTGTGTGTGTGTGTATATATATATATATATATAGAGAGAGAGAGAGAGAGAGAGAGACTTAAATATACTTACATAGTTTAATAGATGGATAGCATTGCTTTATATACCTAGACTGAAATTTATTTATATCAGACATATTGGAATTTACTTAAACATTTTTGGTTTTTAACAGATGATTTTGAATTAAGTAAGTTTGTTTGCAAAAAAGATTTTAAATAAACAAAGCTCACTTCCACGTGACACTCAGGTCTTCCTATTCCTCAGGCTCCCTTTACGTCTCACCCCAGATGCTGTAGGGTCGACTCTCCCCTGAAGACGGCTAACTGACCCTTCCATCTGGGCTCTTGGGGGACAGAGGAGACAGTAGTAAGTGAGGAAACCCAGCTGCTCCCATGCCTGCAGGTCTGGGGAAGTGGAGGCCTGGGGAGGGTGGTGTGGACAAAGTTCCATCCTCTTTGATGCCCCTGGAGGTCACTTCACCATTTTTGTGTGTCCCGAGGCTGCAGGAGAGTGCAGGGTGCTTCTATTATAGAGAATTGAGACCTTCGGCCTCTCAGGGCAAGAGTGTGATTCAGAGATTTGAGGACCCCCTAAATGCCCAGACCCCTGATAAGCTCAAGGTCTTCTCAACATCTTTAGAGAAAGAGTGGGGAGTTTGATAAGGGTGGTATGAGGGCTGGGAGTAAATACACTGCCACCCACGAGGGGTCCCTGACTCACACAACACTGATTTTAAAATTAGGTGAGGCAGCATTTCTCAGGTGATGGTGCGTAGACTAGGAGACAGACCATGGTGCCTGGTTCAACGCTGCACTCACTGGAAAATTCTGGGGAAACCCAGAGTAATCCACAGACAGCACATGCCCCTGGGAAAGTGAAGTGGCCAAGTGAGGAGACCACCTGTGGGGGCAGGGACTGCTCATCCAATGCCCTCTACTCGGTTTGAATTTTGCTATGAGCACAGCATTTATAGAATGCAAACATTTTGTGTTTTGAGAAATCTCCAAGTTAAAAAGAAATGCGTACGGCAAACGGTGCCAGCACTGGTTGAGCTCTCGCTGGATGCCCCTGGCGTTCTCTGTCAAAACCCTCGATCGTCACAACCAAGCTATGAAGCAGATGTCCTCACATGATGCCCAAACTTCTCTCTGCTCTTCAGACCCTTAGCATGTGTATCTTGGCAGGGATAGAGTGAACTCCCGCAAACATTGTTTTGGTTTGGGCTGTGGTGTTCACTGTGCTTTTAGATTCATCTTACGCAGGAGCAAGTGTTGGTCAGTGTTGAAAAGTGAGATCAGACACGTAGATCTTCGGAACCGGCCCCGAGGTGCCTAGCTGAAGGGTCAGGGTGGTGTCAGGGTGGCCTGGCCCCGAGCCTGTGCCCCTAACACCATGTGTTAGTTAGAACCATGTGATGCCAGAGTCTGCAGACATGGATGCACTTTAGGGTGACATGGTTCAACAATGGGTTGTGTGCAATTAGTTGTGTATTGCATGGTCGCCTTGGCATGGGACTTGCTCTTCGCCTCCAGCTATTAGCTAAACATAGCACTCTGGAAATACTGACTTCTAGGATGTCTTCTGATAAGTTCTCTTCATGTTTTAAGTCCTCAAAGTATTGCTGTTCCTCCTGTTTAATCATCTCTTTACCTTTGGAATATTGCTTTGTGGAAAGATAATACCTGGTACTGAACTGGCAGCCCCGGGGATAGGTGGTTATCTGTGTCTTTGTGGCATCTCAAGCTGTACAATTAATGGACGAGTGACACTGTTTACAGAGTACTAATCAGAGTTAAGTGTAATTATAATTAATGTGTGCTGGTCAGCAAGTGGAAATATGACACTTGTTAATTGAAACTATGTGTAGCCTTAGTAGTCGGGACTCACAGTTGGACATGATGCCGGTCTCTGCTCTTCAGCCATCGGGGCCCTCAGCATGTGTGTCTTGGCAGGGACACCGTGAACTCTGCAACCCTCCTTTTGGAGGCTGTGGTGTTCACTGTGTTTCTAGATTCACCTAAGGCAGGAGCAAGTGTTGGTCCGTGTTGATATTAAGCTTTCTTCTACAGTCAAGACGTTCAACAGGCCATGCCCAGACTCCCGAACACCAGGGAGGGTCCAGCAATCATGGCTGCATTCTAGTCCTGATGTTGGAGTGGGATGGAGCACGAGGGCCCCACGCCTCCAGCAAGGAGAAATCAACTCTACACCTTCCAGGTGAGCGAGCTCAGGTAGGGGCCTTTCCCCGCCACAGGACACTGGCACAGCCTGACCAGGGGAGAGCGTACCACCCTGAGCTCACACTGGCCGACCCCTGACATGTCACCCCACCTTTGCTCTGTTGGGGTCTGCAGGTGATTTCATTACCTGCCTCATTTGCGTCATAGGTGACAAACTCTCACGACCTTTTTTCAACTCCTGAAGCTACATTTACAGCATACACTTGGAAAATGGGAGCTTACCGTCCACCCAAATTCACAAAGCAAAAATGAATAAAATCCCAATTCTCCAATTTAACAATGCCTGTGTAAATGCACATTACCATGTCAAATGTCTTCAAAGCTCAATAATTAACGAAGGGCCTAGTAAGATACTGTAAAGCCTATTTCAAAGGCAAATCCAAAGAACAGGCACGCACAGACAGCCCTAAATCCTGAGGTGAACACGGCACTCTGTTGGAAGGCGGTCCCCGTCACAGGGCGAGATGGATCGCAGCTCCTCTACAACAAAGTCACTTGCGTTCTTTGGCCAGGAACCCTCTGCTTAGCTATCAGTTTCTACCACCTCCAGCTTTGTAAAATAGGCCGTCGACAATGAAAAGCACAGAATTTTCATTTCGAATAATTGGGTTGGCTCACAGAAATTTATGAATATAAACCATATCCCGTACATTGCAGTGTTCTTTTTACCTGTGTGTTCATTTTGAAATTTCCCACAATGAAAATAAAGGTTTTGAAGACAGCACCCAACGTGCTATGGTCGGGAGACCCCTGCGAGCCTCGCGTCAGGGTCTTTCTATGCTGGGTCTCAGTCTGTTTTAAAGTAATCATGGTACCCATCACAGAATGTCAGGCTTTCGAAATTTAAAATCCTCACTCCAGATGGGAACGGTACACAGGACGCAAGGAAGTAGCACCCAGTCAGTCCCTACGCGAAGCCCCTTCTGACGGGTGGGTAGCTCGTCTCTAACCAGGCAGAACGCCTGACCTTGCTGAGAGCTGGTGTGGTTCCGTCCTACCTTGGTAAATGGCTTTGAATCCAGGGGAGCCGATGCTGTCGTCAGACTGCAGGTGGAGCCACATCTGGTTGCTCATGCTCACGATGAGGTCGGGAACGCTGGAGCCCGTGAGCCTGCGCAGAACAGGGAGTTAGAACCTGGTCAAAGACAACTTTACTCAAGTCACTCTGACTTTCGCCTGGGAGGAGGGTCTTGCTGCTTAGGCAACTAAACCCTGGAGGACTGGACAGCAAGGCCTCCCTCGGAGAATCTACGACCACTTGTGGTTTACCCTAGTACTGAAGAGTTGAGGTCACCCACATTTCACAGTGAGTACTCCATCTCTGCAAAGGTACATCTCTTATTATAAAAATCAGCTTCATGTGATGGACCACCTCATTTGCCTGCCACTGAGGGCTTCCCCAGAAGCAAACTTAGGCTGCTAAAACTGGGACAATCTTGGGGAAAATGGGGCCACTGGCCATGCAACATGACCCCATGGTGGGTACAGGTTCATTCACAAAATGATTGGATTGACCAGCGTAGATTGATCATGTACCTTCTCACAATCTCTATTAAAACTCATCATAGGTAATCACATGTTTAAAAAAATGGCAAAGAAGAAGAGCGTGCCTAGCAGAAACAGACTCAGCAGCACGTCCTGAGCTTCCCCTCTGCATGTTAATGCCCAGGTCAAGCCACGCAGCGCTTCAGTGAGGCATTCAGTGTACATTAATAAAACAGTCACAGAGCAGCTGCTGTCAGCCAGTGAAAAGAAACACTGAATCCATTGACTGAACCCGATGTGCTGACAGAAAAGCATGTCGAAATAGAAAAAGTGCAAGAAAGAAATCAATTCAACCAAAACAAATGTCCCTAATCAAATAGGAAGCTCTGCTTTCGGCAAAGTAGTTTCAGGAATATGAACACATGATTTAGCCCATCAATCATATCATCTGTCTATCAACCCAGCATTCTTGTTGGAGGCACAGAATACCTGGATCTTGAGAGCAAGATGAACAACAGTCATGACTGAGAAGTAGTGCAGTGGCATTACCCACAAGCCCCAGAGAGCAGGTGTCCCAGTGACTGACGTGCAGTCCGCAAGCACGCATGGTTTTCTGGAGATGTGTTTTTGTTGGCAAGATTGTTCTTTTCTGCATGGATGAGTTGTTTCTTCCTTGTTTGATTTGAAGAGAGATTTGTTTTCCTCTTCATGCACATATTTTATTGAAGTGTAACAAACGAAAATGTGCATGGATCATAAATGACTCTCTCTGGGGCTCTGTGTAAAATGAACCACCACACAGATCAGCAAGGGTACCAGCACCCAGAGGCCTTCCTCCGCCTGCCCCCTTGCTCCGACCTGGATGAAACATGAATGGGTTTCCTGTTTTTATGGCTTTCTATGAATGAAGTCATGCTCTGCATGACATTTGGTTCAGCATCACCTGGTGCAGCTTACTCATGCTCGTTTGTATTTCATTCATTGTAATTTCCACATGGAATCACATTGTGCCTATATGTATAAGAAGGGGTTAATGTTGATTAATGTTGAAGATTAATGTTGTGTTTTTGAAGTTTTTATTGAGACAATTGTGAATACCTATAAAATAGTTAGAATCAATATGTATTTTTCCCCTAGTTTCTCCTGATTCGAACATTCTGCAAAATTATAACGTAATGTCAGAACCAGGATATTGGCATTGATACGGTGTGGCTGTCTTTTTCACACCTCCTGTGTGTGTAGCTCCATGTTAAGGCACCCGTGTGGGTGGGAAATCCACCCTTCAATCTTTACAGACCAGTTCCATCCCTGCAGAATTCCCTCAGGAGGTACCACACTAACTTCCTCCTGCCACCCCCACCCACCACCTCTGTCCCTCACCCTTGGCAACCCCACTCTGTATCTCCACGTCATTTTCATTTAAACATACTATGCAAGTGGAATCATCATGTTTAGCCTTTGGGATCGACTGTGTTCAGTTGTCTTAAATCCCTGGAGCTCCGTCCAAGGGTTGGTTTGTCCGAGGGCTGATTTCTTTGTGGCACTGGGTAGGATCTCATGGTGTGGACATGCCACAACCAGCTCAGTCACTCATCTGCTTATTGGGATGACTGTAGTTTGCTACATGACACACAAAACTGCTTTGAATGCTTATGTGCAGATCTTTCTAGAACACAAATCTTCATTTCTCTGAGATAAATACCCAGGAATGTGATTGCCGGGCCATATAATCACACGTTTAGTTTTTAAATAAACATCCAACCTTGTTCCCCAGACTAGAGGTACAATTATTGCATTGCCATCAGCAACGTGTGAGCAACACAGTCTCTGTGCCTTCCACAAGAATCTAGCACTCCAGTGGACGTACTCTCTAGCCACTCTGACACACGAGCAGGTCACTAACTTGCCGAGGACTTTGCTGTGTACTTAGTGCCATGTGCACACCCTCCTCAGTGGAAGGTCTGTGCGTGTCTCTGACTCCTTTCAGTTGGATGGCTTCCCTCGCCCTGCCTCCCCTCCCACCCAGAGCTCTGTCATAGAGTACAGTGCAGACCCTTGTCTTTTGTCATAGACACGGGTTGCAAATAATTTCTCAGGGTCTGTAGCTCATCTCCGCGTTCATATGTCCATTTATAGGAAAACAAAAATTTACCTTCTACGGATTGTGATTTGGTGTCAAAATTGAGAAGAATTTGCCCAAAAAGTTCATGTATGTCTGTTTCTAAAACCTTTTATAGGTTTACATTTTAGATTCAAGTCCTTGGTTCATCTTGACCTAATTTCTGTGAAGTCATGTGTCTGAGCACCTGCAGGTGCCCTAGCAGGGCTGGTGCTCCGCCTGCAGGTCCCTGTGCTCCAGGCCACTAACCCAGACGGTTTTCGTCACTCCCCATGCATTTAGATCTTGGATCTCTTCCACTACCATTTTTGTGATTTTTTTTTTTGAAATTAAATTAAATCAAGATTGTATTGTGTACACAAAAGCTGGCCAGAACTGTCTCTTACAAAACTCCATGCTAGAGATCACCCCCCCCCGCTTTTTCCCCATTTTTGTGATTTTTAGCACATATATATTTTTAAGTTTAAACCAAAGTATTTAACTTGCTTTATAGCAATCATAAAATTTTTGTGTTTTTTAAGTTTCTGTATGTTTATAATTACTATATTAAATGTGACTTGTTTTTATTTAAATATTTTTTTTTTGTTATAGGTGGACACAATACCTTTATTTCTGTTTTTTTCTTTTTTTTATTTTTATGTGGTGCTGAGGATCAAACCTAGTGTCTTACTCTTGCTAGGCGAGTGCTCTACCTCTGAGCCACAACCCCAGCCCTATGACTTGTTTTTTAATTAGATTTATCACTTGTATCAGCTGGAAAGGGATCAAATTTTGTCTTATTGAGTTTCTCTATTTTTTATCTCATTAACTAAGCTTTATGTTAATTATTTCCTCTCTTTAATATCATCTGGTACAGTTTGCTCTTCTGTAACTGCATGAAACAGCAGCTTAGATCATTGATTCACATCTCTTAAGTATACAGTAAAGACTTCCATTTAAGAAAACTTTTTAACAGTAGCATTCTCATTCTCATTCAGTTCTAAGTAGTGTCTAATTTTAAGAATAGTTTATTTCTCAGTCTATCTTAAAACATTTAAGTATTTTCTAATAATAATCTAAAATTATTCTGGCTATTTATAATTTGGTCAGAGAAAATACTCTGCATAATTTTAATCTTGTGATATTTATTAAAATGAGCATCACTATTTGGAATATAGTCCATTTCACTGAAAGTGCCAGAGGCATTGGAGTCAATGGTATTCTGTGGGAGTAGTTGCCGAGATTTCTACGTATCAAGTTTGTATTCAGGTTGCTCAAACATGCCACAGGGCGGCTGATCTCTCTTCTGACTGCTGCATTTAGAGACTTTGTGAAAATACCCGCTGAGCCGTGAGGCTCCTGCCCTGCTTGCAGCGAGGTCCATCTCTGTTACACGTTGTGAGAGCGCGTTCACATCCAGTGCCGCCCTGTGTGGCTGCACCGTCCTCCCTCCCCCACAACACTCCTCCACTGCTGTCCAGTGCTGCGATGACACACGTGTGGGATTTCCCCTTCTGTGTTAGTTCTTACCAGGAGCGTGCTCTGGTAGGTCTGCATCTGTCCTTGCAGGAGTGACGGGGTCGCTTTACCTCATTTCCACCCAGCCTGCTTTGCCCTTGCTGTGCCTGGTGACCGCTGTTTTCCTTGCCGACTGACCGAGGACATCTTGATCCCCCTTCAGCTCCCAGCTTCTTCTTTCTCAGCACTTCACAGTGTCAGTGTCTTGGGCTCCACTTCCTCACTCACATGCAGAAGCTTCTCCCAGCCTTGCTTGGCCTTCTGAAAATAATGTCTCTTGTTTATGCAGGTTAAAGAGCTTTTCTTCTGATTTTATCAGCATTATTACAATAATCTAGACTGAACTTTGCTTGCATTAAACTGACTATAAAATCACCTACTTCTGAATTTCGATGTCTGTGGTCAGGTCTGGGAATTCTTGGTGGCAATCTCCTCCCACACAGCTTTTGCCCTATTCTCTGTCTCTCTTCTACAACTCAGGGACCTTTTCTGCATAGACTCCTCTTCCTTTTGTCTTTCTGTCTTGGTTCAATTATTTTCTCCTAATCTATCTTCTAGTTCAAACCATACATGTTGAGTTCTTTATTTCAAGTATTTTTCAATTCTTGAATTTCTATTTGATTGATGTTATAGATTGAAGGTTTTTGCAGAAATTGTAGATCACTTTAGTTATTTTCTTAAACATTCTAGTCATAGCACATTAGTACACTTCCTTATTGTTACTGAAAATCTTGGTCTTCATTCTACTGGACTATTTTTGTGGGCGGGCGGGGGGCGGTCATTGGAGCTGTTTCTGGACACTGCCCATGATTTCTGACTGCCAGGTTTGTACCAACCATCGAGCAGCGCAGTGTGCTGTCCTCCCCCAGAGAACCTGGAGTCTCTTCTGCCAGCTGGAGGCCACGCTGGCCCCACCAGTCAGTGGACGATCCAAGCCTGCTTCAGGCCAGTGGTTTCCAGTGCTTATCTTGTCTTAAAACACAGTCAGGAGGCTAGGATTTTTATAAGAA